CATTAAAAAGCTCACAGTTTTCGAAGATGTTGTAAATCACATTGATATAAAAGTGCAAAACTTTGGTACAGTAAAGACCGGTTATAACGAGTATGCTTTATAACGAGCACCTGCTCTGTAACGAGCAAGCTTCCAAGTCCCGTGAAAAATCCTATCCTTACAATGTAAAAAATCTCGGTTATAACGCGTGCTCGGTTATAACGAGAGTTCGGTTATAACGAGAGCTCGGTTGTAGTTTTGCGTGTTTTGTACCGTCTATAACGAGCGAATGACGTAAAAATCTGGCGACGTCGTGACGCGCCATTTAGGCACCATGGGCAGTTCAGTTTATCGCTAGATTTACGTGAACTTGTATCTATATGTCGTTACAAAAATCCTCATATTAACAACTTAGAATGTATTGAACTTGCGTACTTTCCGCCAAATTCAACTTCCGTCTTACAACCGATGGACCGAGGCATAATTAAATCAATGAAAACGTTTTACCGACAAAAGTTATTGTTCAAGTTAGTAGAAGCTATGGATCTGAACGAAAAATTAAAAATCGATATTTTAGATGCCATAATAATGCTAAACAGCGCATGGATAAATGTTAAAAAAGAAACAATAATGAATTGCTTTCGTCATGCATTCGGCAATCTTGCAGAGAGTTTTAGCGAGGAATATGAAATTCCCTTAGCTCAATTAATTACGCGTATCTCTGTGGAAGAAAATCTTTCTAGTTGGGCAGAGAAAAACGGTTTGGAAATAGACGGTATCGATTTAAATTTATTTGCCACTATCGATGACGATGTTACTACTGGTTCCATTCTATCTGACACTGAAATAATGTCTAACGTGTTGAATAAAGATAATGAATCTGACGGTGAATCAGATGAAGAGGTAGAACGAAACATATCAAAAAATGAATTTTTAGAAGCATTTTCTAGGGTGACACGTTACATTGCAACCAACTATGCGGACAATACTGAATGTATGTTCGCATGCGATACAATAAACAAAAATATTTGCCAGGAATTATTACATAAAAGCATAAAACAGAAAAACATCCGAGAATATTTCAATAAAAATTAATTTTAGATGTATAATAGTATAGATGTTTAGTTAATTAGTTTTAGTCTATTAGGTAGTTGTATCTGTCTTAAAGAATAAAGTTATGAAAAATTACAAAAACATGATAATGTATTTTTTTGTTTTTACCTTTTCAATCGTATACTTTTAAAGCAAACAAAATTTCTCATAGCGATTAATTTCTGATAGTAAATAAACAAAAATTTCATTGTGAAAGTGCAAAAACAAAAAGACTTTTTTAATTCGTTTTTAAAATTGCTGGTTACTACTTTTTGCACAAGTATTAAAATTTATGTTACATATTACGACAACCTTGGTTATAACGAGGTACCGTCTATAGCGAGCAATTTTTTCGGTCCCTTGACTGCTCGTTATAACCGGTCTTCACTGTTTTACCAAGAATGAAGACTTTTTCATCAAAGATTAAGCTAAATTGAGGACTTTTTTAGATTTGAATTGTTGATTTTGATGTTGGTAAATTCTGAAATCCCGTTGCTTCCTGTTCTTAAATCCCTGGATGTAGTAGAAACTTTAAATGGGACACCATCTTATGCTGATAATGAAGCGATGGCAACATCTAAAGAGTTACCTTCTTGATTGGGATCAATTACTTAATTTGGCACAATTGACAAAAATTGGGAAAAAAATGTAACAAATGAGTTAGGTTGGGTTAGTTTTCGTCATCGTCGACACTAACAGTTGCTCAACACTGATAATGGCTGAGTTGATTATTGTAGCACATCTTCCTTTCTGCAATAATGCATTCTAAAGATTTAAGAATGTCTTGTAGTAGCTAAAGATCCCATTTTATAATACCTGTAACAGATTTTCGATAATAAAAAAAAAACTAAAATCATTTCGAAAAGAAGATTTCAAAAGATGATTAAATGTTAATTTTTCTAGTGGGCATATAAAGCGCCGAGATGGAGAGGTAGTTAAATGGGTTAATGGGCGAAAAGGCGAGCGAAAAGCTCATCGCAGTTCGGCGCGGAACGAGAGCGTCGCGAAACAAAATAAAAAAAAAAGCGAAAAAGAGCTATGAAACGATGAAAATCGAGGCGGGACCTGGTGGATAAAGAAGAGCGAGAGAGAAAAAGACATGGTCCGGACATTGCGGGCAGGGAAGGTTACGCGGTCAGTGATACACGGGTTCGACGAAACGACTCCCCTTCGTCTAATTACAACGTTGCGAGAAGACGTCTCTTTGCAACACGGTGCCGACATCTTACGAAAAGAGATACAATCAATGTATTTTTAATTAAGGTTCGAAAAATAATTAGTTTACATCAAAAATGATTTAGACCAAAAACTTTTTGAACAATAAATGAGTAAAAAATGTTTATGTTGAAAGTGAAATTAAAAAAAAAAAGATGTGTAACTGGGTCGTGAGTTGAAATCGAGAGGGAAAATGTGGGTGAGTTGGAACATCTCGTGAGCTTCCCTGCGGGGCTTCACTTTCGTCGTCACTTGGTTGACGATCCTGTTGCTGCTGTTGCTGCAGCGGCGGCGTCGTTCCTGCGGATGAGAGGATGGGGCCGCGAGTACTCAACCGACGGTGGAGCGAGCTCGGTCGCGGTAGTTCGGATATTTTTAAAACACTCTCGCTTTCAACGGCACTAGGTCGTGGTTCCGTTTTTCCTTTCTTTCTCTCACCGACCTCGCTATCACTTTTACTTTAGTACAGACACCGACCGAGACTAAACGACTGGTTTTTTACTATACGATCGTTTCTTATCTTCTTCATAAAGAAACGTAGAAATGAAATTTTTTATATCCCCTTTCGTAGAAAGCATTAAAATGTTTACCTTTTAAGAAAATGTAGCAATACTTTTTTTCGGTAGGGCAGTGGGTTAAGTTGTCCCAGACGTTTTGTCCTCGTGCACCATTAATATCCATGACTCCTCGGAGGTTCCTTAACGGAATCCACAGCACAAGAGAGATACGAGACAACAGGTTGCTCCGGATCCTTTCGCATCTCTCGGAATCGAGCCTTGGGTTCTCTGGTCGGGGATCTCTTCCGACGCCATTGATATGTAAAAGTGCCCGAAGAAGGGTCGTTAGCCTAGGTCGGGGATAAGACACACCGGATCCTCATCCCGTCCTCCGCGCTCCCCAAACCAAGGGGTTACGCCCGGGATCCATCGCCGACACGATTGTATAATAAGGACCGGGGTACGATGAACCGCGGAAAATGGTCTGGCATTTCCGGTGCGGTCGGAGAGAAAAACGACCCGAGAATTTCCGGTCGTGGATTGCTCTTGTCGGCTGTCGTTATCAAGGACGTTCTTCCAATTATCACCCTTTAGAAGATCTGAACAGAAAACCGAATCATAATGTTCTTAGTCATTTTGTTAGTCATCTCGATTTACTGATTACGTATTCTACCAACGTTGCTGATTTATGACTGTTTCGCTTGTGGTTTAGAATTAAACTTTCCAAATGTAACTAATAATTTCGGGTTTTTTAGGTACATTCACCTTAAGAGTCATTTAGATTATTAGAAAATTTAGATTTCTCATTAAATGTAACATACGATTTCTTGATTTCAAGTAGTATGCTGGACAGAAAACTTGCATCTTGATAACTCCAATTTATGATTGTAAGAATCAGCACAAATTGGCAGTATCTGTTGACCAATTAGATCATGTTATAGCACGTTTAAGTATGATTGAATGTTAAAACAATTCATTTTACCAGTTCTTGCACACCATGACCTACCAACCTTTGGTCGAGGTTAATTATGAGATATATCAAATTCTGGAATTAACAATCACTAAATTAAGTTTATATTAGCAGCTGAGAATTTCTAAAATCAACACAGCAAATTCTTTGAAAAACTGTAAGATTTTATCAATGAATTCTTATGAATTGAATACAGTAAAAGGAAATGTGGGGTAGTTGGGATCAAGAGACCGTTTATCCGGCTCGTGGCGTATTTATTTATCCCAGATGGTAGAGAGAGGATCGTCGTTCACGACCTTCCGCAACGACCCGACGACGACCATTCGGTTAGGAGAAGTTCATCTTCGAGACGGACTGTTTGTCACTTTTGTGCCCGTCATTGAGTAGGCAGCGAGGATCCGTTTCGTTCTGGAGGCGGGCGGACTACCTAAAAACTTCCGGTGGTGTGTGGTCGCGTGTGTACTGACCCGCACGAGGTGTGCATTCTTTATTGGCCCCCCATATTAGTAATGGATATGGTTGCAGGTAGATTCTAGTCGCGTGCCCCGCTCATTTCAGTCGTTTTGGATGCGTTAAATGTGGGTTAAGCCGCGAATGTGTGTGTATAGGTTAAGGGTTTCTTTCTTGGCTCTACACAATTTAGCCGGGAATTAATTCTGATCCCTTTTTCCGTCTCTTATTAATGTGATTTTTGGCACAACCTCGTTGAACTCCTGGGACGCTTGTCCTTTTTTTTCTTTGCAGTATCCAGCTCGACCCGACGTCTTGGGGTCGAGCTTTTTATTTACGGTTTGTTTGGGGTCGTTCCCCGCAGGAATTAACGTTCCCGGTACCTGTTGTATTTTTCGCATTCTAGAAGGATTTATCATTTTATTGAGGTAATTAAACTGTCGTCATGACTACGGCGACTCCACCAATTTCACCATTCATTTCACCATTCATTTCTCCAGCTTTGTACTTTTGAGTCTTTAATTTCCCACTTTAACATGCTTAATGTATTTAGTAACATTATTAAAATATATATTTGGTTGATAAATGGAGACGAGAGAAAGTGTTTGAAACTTTTGACGTTATTTCATAATTTAAACCTTGTTTTGGGTTACTCTCGGTCAAAATGAGAGTGGCTAATTATGAAAAGGTGTCTCAATGGGGCAGTCGTGGACTAAATACCTTATAACTAGGGAATGGACACGATGAAGAATCCCTAGTGCCTCATCAGTTCATTCATTATGAAGGTTTTAAATAAAGATTTTTCATAAACATTTATTGAAACTAAATTAATAAATATACAATAAGATTATGATATAACTAACGAATTAAATTAAGCTCAACTTTTTGCATAACAAATCTACATCATCATCATGTATAGAAAATTGTTTTTTGAGGGTACCTTTTCTCGCAGCTAATCCACTTTTAATTCTTTTCCCACAACCTTTACTGCAATCTTTGTTTTGTTCTTTACAATTTGAATCCGCATTTTCCTCCTCCCAAGAATAATTCGATGTAACATCAACTCTAATCACTTGAACTGTTTGAGGACTCGGCGGCTTAGACAATGAAAATCTAATTGTTTTTGTCTTCTTCTCCTTCTTTTTATGTTTCTTTTTTTGACTTCGACTATGATCTTCATCTTGTTCGGACGAACTTTGAGATATCGAAATTAATCGTAGAATATCAGGGTCGATTTCTTCCTCTTCAACTTTTAATAGTTCTTGTTGGATTTTATCATCGTTTTGCTCCGCTTCAACTTCTTGAGAGAATCTCTGTATTAAAGTGGCTACATTAAAAGTTTCCTCCGATGTTGTATCGTCGTTTGAAGATATTTCTTTGCGGGGATAAGCGTTGTTCGAAGATTTTAATCTTGGGCGTTTATTGGACCATTTTTGTAATGATGAGCCTGTGTTAAAAGCTGGTACATTTTCTGGGAGGGAAATGTTATTTACTGCTAAAGAGTAATTCGTGTTTGTTGGGGTTCCTATAAATTTTTTTGATCGATCCCATCTAAATGTGTAACTAAAATTGGGGAAAAAAAATTAAAAAAATTAAATTTAATTTAAAAGACTTACCTGTGGTAATAATTGCTTTTTAAATAAAGCTTTTCATTTAACAATTTCGATTTATATTTATTTGCGTCAAGTTCTCCGGGTCTTAAAGTTCGATTTGTTAACTTAATTGGTGCGCACAACATGATGTTTTTATTTTTAATTAACGCTCTTCGGATTCATCAAGAACAAGTTTCGCAATTAATTAACCAAGCTAATGAACAATAAGAAATCAAGTCTCTACCCCCGTACTAAATAATGAAAACTTTATTACCAACCAATGATGATTTACGACTTCGTCCTCGACCTTTGACAGGCTTCTTCTGCGAAGTAATTTGCAGTATTGTAATCTTCTTTGTTTGTCGATGATGTCGACGCTGTTGGTTCGATTTTCTGTAAAGGAAAATTTTCTTGTTTGGGAAAATAATAAAAACATTCGTTAATTTAGTTGGTTTTTTTTGGGAAAATTTGGTCGCAAAGAATTTCTTTTTGTAACGTCGTCGATTTATCACTATGGTCGAACAATGGAGGCGGTCTAAATAAATCTACGTCTGCGTAGGACAAAAAGCTTACATTGCGGTGTTCACAAAGAAAGCTTTGCTAATGTCATGCGTGCAAAAGAAAAATAGGCCAAAATTTACCTTGAGTACAATAACCACACAAAGTATATAAAGTTCTTAAAATACAAAAAAAATGTTTAAAACTTACCGTTGAAGTAAGTAATAAATTTTAATGTTATAATATTTTTTTTGTGTTTTAATAAAGTTATTATTCGAAGATATAAAATTTATTCCTGCTGACTATAAACGAAGCAGGATTAAAATGAGCTTGGTACGGTGTTCGTTCGAACTTTGACGAGCCAAGTTGCGCCTGCCTGGTTTTCTAGCACGCAACCAAGACAACGTGCTCGTTCCTTCGAACGCCTGTCTGCTTTCGGTGTTGAGTATGATAAATTGACTCCCTATTGGCAATTAGAACCCCCACAGCGTTTGTACGCATTGTGTGTATGTTCTATTGGAATTACGGCAATTATTCTTTATTCAGGTCACTTCACCTATCATAAATTTTATATGATATAACCATTACAGGAATTTAACTCTGTTTTAAAATAGTTTAAACCCAACTTTATTAAATTAATTAATTTAAGTTAACAAAAAATCTTGATTATGTGGATTTTAGATCGCGTGAGTATTCTTTGCAAAAGTGAGCATTAAGTTAATTTTCGTGCATTCAAAACTTTGTACCTTTATTTATGAACCTGTCTGGAAATGTCGTGGTGGCGTTAACTTTTCTGTCGGATCACGAAAATGCTATTTATTAAGTTCACTGTTTAAAAAAAGCCAATTAACTTCGTCTATTTTGTTACACAAAATGTGTTCGTTGATGAATACTAAACAATTAAATAATCCATTAGGTAATTTTTATGCAGCAAAAAATTTGGTCTACTGACGTAGTTTATTAACGCAGTAATAAATTCGAAAAATAATATAAAATCAATAAGAAATGAAACGATGAAGAATTAAGCATGGAAAAGTGCTCACAAAAGTACATTCAAGCAAGGAGACAATCTCTCAACGCCACGATAGGGGCACGCAAAGGAAGGGAAAGAAGAAAAAAGAATTAAAGTTAAGGAAAGATACCCGATATATAGGAGATTGGTATTAACTCAGATAATGAGATGATATGATTATCATTTTTACATTGGCAAAGATGAAGAAACCCCGTGGAAAAGCACTCCAATAAATAACTGCAACAAAAGCAGGAGAAAATGGAGTTTCTCTAGAAAACTTGAGAAGTAGTATAGAGTTTTAACTCTACCTAGAGAAGACGTAGTCCTGAGGTTGCATTGCCGAATTGGTTCCGGACGAAGTTAGACTCTGGGCTAATTAACTATCATCTCTGTAAGAGTAACTGTTAAGATGATCGACTTTACGTAGCTGGGAATGGTATCTTCATATGGACACACTTGTAAATATAAGTGTGCGTCTTGGAACACGGACATAGGAGTGTGGGTTGGGTTGGTTTTGTTTCTGGTTGGGTTGGGTTGGACGAATTCTAGACTACTTCTCATTTTCCCGGGCTGACACAGTTCTTCTAACATCCGGAGTCATTTCTCTACAAAAAATTATGTTACTGAGCATTAGCCCAAAATCTGGGGATATCTTTTAGGACATCATGTCATACAAAATAATCTTGGACAAGCCTTATTATAACCTCCCAGAGCTATTACACATCCTTAGAAAATTAAAAATGAATATCTATTTATAAATAACAGTGTGAATTACCCAGTTACATTTACAAAGCTATCTAATAACGATATTCATTATCATCATAATCAGCTCCTTAGCGAATACAGTTGTATTTCAGCTTGTATTTAACCCTTTGTGTCCCAAGAAGTCAAACATTTTGAAACTTTGTGACAGAATTAAAACGCTATTAAAATACACTCAGTAAAGGCCTTTGGAATAAAATTTTAGCAAAATATGCAATCCCCCTATTTTCGCATAGTCTAAGTGTCAAAAAAGATGCTAATTCAAAAATTCCTGGAAACCGTGTTTATTGAAATTAAGAAATAAAACTTATTTTAAATTGAAGCTTGAAGCTTTCTGTTTAAATCGATGTATAACAATCGATGGGTTGAATTAAAAAAATATTGAGAAAAAGAGTATTGAGTTAAAACTAACATTTTCGTATAACCTAAAAGTGTCAAAAAAGATGCTAATTTAAAAGTACCTGTAAGCCGTATTTATTGAAATTAAGGAATGAAACTTATTTTAAATTAAAGCTCAAAGCTTTCTCTTTAAAATGATGTATAATAATTGTTTGGTTGGATTGGAAAAATATTAAGAAAAAAAATGTTGAAACAACACTTACATTTAAAAGAGTCAAAAAAGATGCTAATTTAAAAATTCTTAGAAACCATGTTTATTGAAATTAAGGAATGAGACTTATTTTAAATTTAAGCTCAATGTTTTCTTTTTAAAATGATCTGTGATTTTCACACTTAATAACCATTTATCAAAGAAATACCTTCTTGCACAACAAAATTCAACAGCACCACTTTTCACAAAACTTCTAACCTCACATCTGGATGAATAAGTTTAAAGTGTACCTAAAAATCCTACAGTGCGGATTGCGACGTTTTTTATACAGATTATTTCTCGTATACACTTGTATAATAGAAAGTACAGACAGCTCTAAATGCGCCGAATAGCTAACTACAGTTTAAAATGAGTGTTTAAAATTACCGATACTTTAAAGTACCGTCGGGACACAAAGGGTTAAAATAGACATCATTACATGACTTATAAAAATAGAAATCAATTTGATCTAAAATCTGATCAAATAATAAAGGTTCGACCTTGAATCGTTTTAGGTTTTTAGTGGGTATTTATAGAATGGGGGTGGTTGTACGTGAGAATGTTGTTGTTCAAAAACGATAGGGGTTAACACGAACTGGTACCGTCAACAGATAAACTGGTAATTAACGGGAAACCTGCCAATTTGAGCATCACGTTGAAATTAGTAGCGGGATTTTCCAAATGGTATGCACGCGAAAAACATTGTAATAAATCAAGATTTTAATAAGATAAAAAACAAGATATTTTAAACAAGTAGAAAAAATGTGTTGCAATTTTTCGTACCAAAATACATTATGATAAATTATGGGAACTCCCCATATATATATAATTTAAAATATATTAATAAAAATTTTAAATTGTCAGTATTAATAAATTCATTACATTTAATATCCTGCGACAACTTCACCTGTTGTCCGCCAAATCAACCCCAATTCAGAGAAACACTTTCCCACGTCGTCTATGAAACTTCGCAAACGGGCGAAATGATTTATGGGGTCGAGTGGAAAACCTCCGAAGTTCCACAACTTAAGGGATATTAGTGAGGGTAGGTCGGGGACCCGCAATGGGAAAACATGGAAACTTTTAGAAATGAGATACGTCTGCCGCCAGTCTCCTTCGCCGTCTCAACCCAATAAGGAAGGAAGAATATATTCGGAGTGCGAGGACGTCTCCATCATAATGTTATAGTAAAGGAAAGGTTTTTTTTCTTTCAGAAACATCTCCCCCGACAAATGATTCAATCTAAGTGGATACGTTTCTTTTTCTTCTATGTGTCTATCTGGACTACAGATTTTTATTACGCATATAAAGCGATTTAAAATGAAAAAAAAACCAGGAAAAATATGTGGGAAAGTTTTCACATGGCAGAAAATCGATACAAATTATATTCTGAAATTTCCCTAAAATATTAATCATGACTATGAAGGATGCAAGGCTCAGGTATATTACAAAACAATTTTTTTTATACAAAAATTGACAATTCCTAAAAGATTCTAGGAACAAAAGAAGTATGGGGGAGATACTTTTTTATTTACTACTCTTCTCAAAAACTTTGCAGCGTTTGCTTTTGGTCGTTCCTCGGCCGACCCCTTCAAAACTACGCATCGATTTTCCGACAGTCCAGCAATAAAAGGCAAATTAATACCTCGAGGAAAACTCGGTAGGGGAAAATCGTCCAGGGAACGAGCTTCGAACAAGCGCAAGTCGAACCAAAAGATCTACCCCCTTATTTCTGCTCTCCTGCTAACCAAATACTACGCAAAGTCCTACAGGATCAAACAGGACTCGTAGGGCTGAGCTAGTGTGCCAAAGCTGCTCGTAATGGACTGGGACTACCACACCGTAACGATGTCCTAAATATTTCATTAATGCCCGTAGAAATAATGTTATGGGGTAAACGCCGTTACGTGGTGGAAAAAAATTGGGCGACCCGCTCGAATTGAGATATATTAGTGGTGTCAGGGTTCGTGTCATCGCAGGATTAGCTTCAGTAAAAGTTCTGAAAGAACTTTGGGAATCCGAATGTGGACTCAAATAAAGATTTTTATGCACTTATTTTAGTATTATTTACTTCACCAAAATATTTTAATGGAATTTTCGTAAAGATTTTGCTCAAAACCTTGTGCAATTTGTCACGCAGCGGGAAGACGATTACAATGAGACGGCTACAAAATATAAAATAACCTTGATAAATTCACCAAAAAAGATAATTAATACAAAGCGGTTCACAAAAATTAACCCTTAATGTTCTGGGGTAAATTAAATATTAAAATGATTTAATATTTTAAAACTAAATTCATTTCAACCGTGAACAAAATGAAAAAATCGTTCCACATTAAAATTCAAAAACAGGATAATCATCTTCACATGCACGTATCTGGAGCGTTTCTCGGTCAATCTTCGCAGGATATTTTCGCATAGTAAGCAGGACGAAACGGGGGGGTTAGAAACGCTAGGGGGATGGTTTCCGAAAATAGGTGGGCGAGGGGTTAGTCTGGGGGAAGGATGTATGGCCTGAACATGGTCCGGGCAACGCGAATATCTAATCCTGTGATGTAGCGGCAGTGTCAAGTCCAAGTATAAGCTACCACTGGACGGCCTAGTGGAGGTATTGATCTTTGAGAAGAGAAAGTTTACAGCCCTCCCTCGACACCCTCCTCTCGTTTCTCCCCCCTCTCAAGTTTAGAAGCCCACGGCCGCTGGTCATTCTGGACCAGGGAAGGCTCGTCGACTTGTTTGCATATCCCTTGGAACCCCTTCGCGTCTGTATATATGTGTATATAAGTTTTTTTTCTTTGGGGGGGTGTCTTTGAAAATAAGGTTTTCTCGTGAATTTATGTGTTTACATGGTAAAGTGGATGACGAGAATATAAATTAGATAAGTTAAAGATGTACCGCGATTCGTTCAATTTTAGTTTGTAGTTGTAATAAAATTATAGAAAGAGGAAATCAAGTGTAACCTTAAATCTCGATGCAGATAAAGCTGTTTACGTCAAATACTCGATAAGAAAGTGGGGTTCTAAAAGAAATGCGAAATAAATCGATATCAAACAATTTTAAGGGAAAAAGAGATAACTTAATAGTAGCAACAAAGTTTTTTGAATCGTTATTTTACAATTTTAATCTTTTAAACGAAACATTAAAACAGCTTGATTGCTTTTTTAATTCTTTAAACTTTAAAATTATTATTTGTTGGTAAACCTGAAAACATGGTGAGTTTTAAAGCAGGCCCCGGGATAGAGGTCAAGCGCACGCCACTGGGCTTGCGGAGTCCGGAGAAAGTCCTGCGTCCGGACGGAGAGTGAAAGTCCTGCGGGAAGTGTAAAGTGCGCGGGGGAGGACGTAGGAGGGAGAGGGGAGAGGCTCTATCGATCCTAGCCACCCTCTTACTACACCCCCTCTTAGGCAAACCACCCCAACCCCCGCGGACGCCTCTGGACGGCTGGACGGCCACTTGCTTAGGTATTCATATGCCTAACGCCGTTGGTTAGACGAAAACCAACTTCGTCTTTCTCAATATCCTCATACACGTGCGCGTGTAATATAAAACATAAATTAAGCAAGATAAATAACAGAAGCTTTATTTAGGGGGTTTATTTATACTAAACTTTATTTTTTTTCAGTTTAGGCAGCTCTTTAAATATTAATTAACAAGTTCAGAAACAAGAATTAATAATTCATATCGATGGACGGTTGACCTTTTTCAAATTGTACCCCCCAGGGAGATTTAAATTTTCAGTTAGATAAATCGATGACAATAGCCAAAACCCCACGGGCAATCAACCCCAATTTGCAACGTCTACCCCCCGATTTACCTCCACGATCATAGTGGAGGTTCTCGTTGTCCAAATAACAATTTAATGTATGCGAGCGGCTGAATGAAACATATTTAATCACTTAGAGAGAAGTTCGCTCGAACTTGCGACCGCAAGTTGTCCCAAGAAATAGGGAGTGTTTGGAAAAGGGGTTAGCAAGACCGCGATGAACGAAATCGACTGCAAAAGGTAATGCGAAAAGAGAAGGATGTCACTCTGACAGGGTGAGTGTTAAAACGCATTCCCTCATAATGGTCGGTTAATTTTTAACACCTGAGTGATAGAAAAGTACGCGGGGGTTGCACCCTCCGAATAAACGGGAACGAATGTCCGTCCCTCATCAGATTTAGCACGGAAAGAGAAAAAAAATGACAGTGTTGGGTAAATTCGAAAAACTCGGTTAATGGGGTGCAAACGCTTTCCTCAATGATACAGGGGAAATTCTTTATTTACGATTTGAGAAAAAAATTATGAATCGAATTTCAAAAAATAAAATGAGAACCGCTCCAAGATCAAACCGTTTCCCTCTGATTGAAAAAGACACGGGCCAAAGAGAAAAAGCAGAACAAACAAGTCAAAGTGGGAAAACCCTGACACAAGAAAGACCTTCTAACACATACACAAGGACATACACGCACACCCAGACAACGACGACACATCCACACGGTCGAACTCGTCCGAAATTTTCCTTCGTAGGTGCGAAACAGGGGGCGGAGACGTCCCGGGGGTCGGTGATCGAAAGAAGGTGGACATCTCGTAGTCCGGCGGAACTGTCCCCTCCTGGAGAATTCAATTTCAATACGCGCTCTCAATCATGCATGGGATGAAGGGCGAGGGGAGACGAGAGAGGGCGACGTACATCGCCGGGACGAACATCAAAGTCCCCCCAAGGCTCAAGACATGGCGTCCGACGGGGAGTCCCCCTCATGACTCCCCCCCGTCCCTCACTTCTAAGGGCCTCCGGATTGACGTTACGCCTCGCATACACTCAGCTCACGCATAATTTAGAGACGCGGTTGCCGGAATGGACATCGCCCGAGCTCAATCAATACAAGACCAAGCTTGGAGTCCTGGACGACGACCGCCAACCGACGTAGACTACATTAGAAACTCTACAGGAGAGACGCAGTATTACTTATGTATGGAGCTTGTTACGCATTCGAAGTTATTTCAAATAATAATTTAGTTAAGATTCGTTCTTAAAGTAGTACTATTTAAAGTTACATTTATTGACTGGTAATAAAATAGATTCAAAACAGCATCCTTATCTTCCAAGTTATCTAAATCTGGCTCTGTTCTGAAAAGGTAGGGCGTTGCCTTCAATCAGTACTTCATAACCCTCATCTTTAGACACTCTGTAATCTTTTTGCCATCTTTCACAATTGCTATGTTTTTCTTCTCTAATTCCTTTCTTTTCACCGGTGTCGCGTATGGCGACATTTTCATATCTTCTCGTGTTTCTGGTAAGCTTGGATCCCATTCTATGCAAAGCCACGCTCGGCGTCTCCTCTTTATCCACCTCCTCATTCATTAATGACCTGTAGTTGACCTGTTTCTGAACAGACACCATCTCCATCTTCTCCTGCACCATATCTCTCTTGTCATCTACTCTTGTTGTACCACATCTTTGACATCTTTCCATAAATCCCTCTTCTTCTGGAGAGAATATGCCAACTCTCCAGAAGATGTGAAAGATTTATCTACTACTCTTTGTTTCTACTCCAAACCACATCCCATTTCAGGGATGTCCTATATCCTCGTCTACAAGGACTCCGAATTAACACTCTTGTTCCAAAACCACGCTGTGCTATGAACCAAGATTAGGTCGAACTATTTTCTAGAAAGAGCATTTCTTAGCTTAGCTAGGATTTATTGGCCATTATGTAATCGTAATCACACAAGACTAAATAAGATAATGTCTCTTATTTTGGTACACTTAAGATTATAATCCATGAGAAAGTAGACAATTTCAAAATGTTTGTCTATTTCTAAGCTTATTAACTAAATATCTAAACTGTAATATTTCCTCGAAATACGTTATCGCTTTAATCATAGAGTGTCCAAAGTAAACTAAACCAATTTAGATATCTCGTTAATGATCGTGCTGAGATTCCACGTCGATTAATTAACACGTTACGTCGACGGGCATGACCTCCATTATGACTATTTGCATTGGCGAGTCCCAGACTCAACGTCGACGACGGTATATTATTACAAGAATTCGCACTTTGAAGTTCCTCGGTCCACTTTACCCTGCCGGAGGTGGAAGTGCTTTTACCTGTGGAAGTCGTGTCCCGTTCCGAGGCGGTTGCCGCCTCCCACCCCTTTTCTTTCGAGAGGACGTTGACGATATTACGGAGGCACGAAGGAATGCGAATCGTCCGGTTACGCACCTCATATTAAAGTTCCAAGCCTAGGGAGAACCCCGTTTCGTGTGCGCCACATTCAAATTAGAACTGGCGTTATTAAAAAAGGACCTGTGAGAGTCGCTGACCGTTGTGCCGGCTGAAATTTTCGGTATGCCGACTATTTTAATGAGAGGAAAAGTGTTAATACGTTTTGTAGGTTACGGTTTAAAAAAGTGACATCTACATTTTCGATATTATGCAAACTCAAAAATGATAAAGTGTCCTTTTAGGAGGGTAGTGGTGGCACGCACAGGGTCTTACCCCGTTGATTAATATTCGGGTCGAAACTTTCCACCCCCCTAAACCCGCTATCCATACATAGTTCAAGATTTGCCACCCACACAGTCCCCCTTTTACCCGGCACCATGCAATTACACCCCTTCCGCTTTCGTGGCCGTAAAATTCGACCACCGCGTCGTAGTGCTCGCTTCGCAGATCCTTCTCCCCTTCGCATTTTCGTAGTAGCCATAGCCACCGAAAACTGCGTATGCGTGCAAAAAGCTCGTTTTACACGTCGAAATTTGGAATATCTCAGCATGAAGAGAAATGTTTTTAACTTTCTAATCCCCTTTTTGGTCAGTTATATTAGTTTAATTAATAAAAATGTTATTAAATTTTGATTAAACGCATATGTTTAAACGTGTAAACCAGACTTGAAAAGACGATATTGCAGAAGGCTTTTGGATACAAGGCCTACTGAGGTGCCGGTCACGTGTTTAAGCCGTTACGGCGAAATACTGCAAAGTGGGCCGCGGTAAGCGACACCAGAGCGCGCACGTATAAAGTACACCGCCCCCAGGGGGCCCCAGCTATCGGGGGATGGACTGCGATACGCCGTCGAAATAACGGTAATCCGTAGGTAGATGGGGAAATTTATGAGAACTTGAAAGATATTGATTTCAAATTTCTGCTTTCTTTTGTATAGCCACTTAGTTAATAAAATCGATTTTTTATGTTTTCATTTGATTGACATTAAAATCAAAATATTGACAAAATGCGATGTCTGTTAGCCTAAATTTTTCGTTAAAACTTCCTGCAAATGGACGGAATTATAAAAGTCTGCCGGGCGATGGGGTGGTGTTGGTGTTGGCCCCAAAAGAGATTAGAAGACGGATACGATCTGGACCATTTTTTGAATCTAAGATTACCTATTTTTTGGGTGATGGGTCCACCTGGATGCGGAAAAACGACCGTTGCCACCCTCCTTTCGCGATGTAGTGACTTTAAATTAGTAAAAATATCACATATGATTAAAGAAGAGGTCGAATCTGGAGATAAATGGCGCGCAAAAACGATTATGAGCTTCACCCAAGGATTTAGAAGATTATGTCCAAACGAAATAGTACTCAATTTACTAAAAGAAGTTTTTTACACAACATGCAACGATTCCGTCGGATACATCCTCGATGGTTTTCCCATTGATTTGGACCAAGCTAAACAATTTGAATTCGAAATCACTAAAGTATTTATGATCATTTATCCAACTTTATCTTTAAATTCGTTCGTGATGCGATATCGCCCTCAAATGACCGAAGCGGAACTCGAAGAAGCTAAAGAGAAACATATTGAGCGCAGCAAATTGTGTCAAAACGTGTATAGGCATTACGAACAAAAAACTTTAAAGTGTAACTCTTTACATCCGATTGATTCTATTTTAAACGAACTCGTTTTAGATTTAGATCGATACTTTGGATATAAATTTAGATTTATTTCTGATACGACTAAGACATCAAACACGCGAAATGTTCACTATGAAATGCGATGTTCAGCGTCGTCGTCTCCTCTCGCCCAATGTAACATTCGTGAATAAGAATATGTATTGAAATTTGTTATTTTATAATTTTAATCTTGTAATAAGTTATTTAAGTATAAAATATATCGAAATTTTAAGAATAAAAATTTCACTCTTTTAATTAGAGTTAGTTCTATAACTGTAATATAGTTTTATTAAGAGTATGGTAAAGTCTCTGGGGAAGAATTCAATATGGTTAAAAAATAAACAGTTTTTTTTTGTTGGTTTCAAATTCATAATAAATGTTAGCGGGGTAAATGTCAGTGGGGCGGTTGTTGCCCCTCAGGCGACGATAGCGGGGAGAAAGTGCAACGCTTTCCCTTGTTCGAGAAATTCAACCCGAGGAAAGTGCACGATACGAGTTTTCGCTAAACATAAAACCGTCGTTGGTTCGTTCGACCCTCTTATAGCTCCATCTTTCTCGCGCGCTTCAAGCTCCACCGAATTAAGCTTGACTGAGTGAATCTCTCGATAAACGACCATTAAAATTTCATTTTTCGTTCTCTCCCTTTTGCCGGGATAGTGTTTCATCAATCTCCTCGTTCTTAAATGGCTTTAACAAAATTGGGAAATTTTTTAACTTTAAATAACGATTTAATTTTAATTTTAATCTCCAAATACTCAAAATACTTAGAGCTAATCAAAATAAAATTTTCAATTTGAATGAATTGGTTGTGTGAGGTTTTCAAAAGAGAAAGTGCTGAGTCCCGAAACTGACGACACCGTCCCAGTTGGTCCTGTTAACCCAATAGCAATCCTGAAACGCGCGTCCTGCTCCGGTACTAAAACACAGTCATAAAAACACGCAAACCAATTTAGCCGGGTACAGTCTGTTGCCAGCTTTGAGGGGGCGGCCGCCCCTTCACCTGCTGCAACTTGGCCCTTCGCCCCCGTTTCCCCCGGACAGATTGGCCGATTTAATTTCGGAGAAGCTCCGCTCGTCAATCTTACCGTATACTCTCGCTTTCTGCGGTGGCTCGTATCCGTGTACAGTTGGACTACTGTTTGGAAGTTTGGGGAGGCGGCAGTCGAACAGGGCTGGATCTGCTCATTAACGAAATGAAACCTCCCTCGGCAGACCACTTGAGCTGAACGGTCGAAATACACTGTGCCGAACTGTTTGGGGGAGCGGATGAGAAAGAAGTACTAGAGGATTCTCTCAGCTGGACTGGTCCTAATTGGTAGACAATAATATTAAACCGGCAGAGAATGAACGGATTTCTACGAGATCGTATCCTATTTTCTCCTATATGTTTATAACTTTTATTTATTTATTATTAACATACAAACTTTTCTGATTAAAATTGCTTTTTATGTGTGGATATAGAGAAAGACTTTTTTTGGCGATCGGCCATAATAATGCTTTTATGTTTCTTTATTAGAACCACTTAAAATAGAAATATATTTAAAAAAAGCTTTCATCTCCTTTTTATCCCTCTATTGAGTAGTAGCCAAAATAACGATTCATTCTCAAAGTTACTGCGTTATAGATTTCAACATGAAGCCTTTAAAAGTTATAAATAATGCCATAACGTATAAGATGGCGCTATAAATTAGCAATATTTGATTTTCATATTTCTAAAATGTTTCTAACAAATGGAACTAGAAGTCCTCCTTTCCATCACCCTGCAATAATCGTTCCTGAATCAATATCAACTTCTTCATCGCAACTTTTTTCCTAGTAATTGTTGGAACTTACAAAGCAAATGAGACGTGAATAATTTTATTGATTGTATTTACATCACTTAATATGGGTTTTGCAAAAATTCGAAATCTGCCCACTTCCTTGGGCTTCGCAATACAATGCACCATTGTCGCGGCCGCAGAATTTAAACAAGGCCGTATTGAAATGGTGTCTTGTCATTTTTGCTGGAATTTGCTTGCTGATGGATATTAACCATTAGATACAGCTCCACCTACAAATTAAGCTATCTCATGAAACTGAGGTTCATTGACAATGAATGTTGCTCTGAAGTATCGAAAAGCTGGAAAGATTTCGATCTTGATGATGCTCGCCACAATAATTATAAGGTTCAACTTTTCAACTGAAGAAGTCAGTGATGGCAAGGCCTGACCACTTGTTGATATTTGATAAAAAAACATAAAAAATTAACTACCAACATGAGAGATGCTGGCAAATGTTTTGTGATTCAGACTCTCAAGACGGCTAAACTCGAACGATTCTAGTTCTAGGTCTATAGTGTTAGCTCTAGGAACAGTGCTGGTATAAAACTACTACTAACACTATACCTAGAACTAGAATCATTCGGGTTTAGCCGCACGTCTAAACCTGAATGATTCTAGTTCTAGGTGTAGTGCTAGTTCTAGATATTTTTAGACTACAAAAGAACAAATCAACAAATATTTTTGCCAAAACCTCAACACCACAAAAAAAATCGTTTCAAAAATAAAATACAAACCGATTTCTTCTTGTAGACTTACAGTCTTGTAGCACACCTTAGTAAAATATTCTCTTTTAATTCTTGTCCTATTTTTGCTGGGATTTGCTTGATGATGGACATTGACCATTGGATGCAGCTCCACCTACAAATTGAGGTATCTCATGAAACTGAGGTTCATTGACAATGAAAGTTGCTCTGAAGTATCGAAAAGCTGGAAAGATTTCGATCTTGATGATGCTCGCCACAATGATTATAAGGTTCAACTTTTCAACTGAAGAAGTCAGTGATGGCAAGGCCTGACCACTTGTTGATATTTGATAAAAAAATATAAAAAATCAACTACCAACATGAGAGATGCTGGCAAATGTTTTGTGATTCAGACTCTCAAGACGGCTAAACTCGAACGATTCTAGTTCTAGGTCTATAGTGTTAGCTCTAGGAACAGTGCTGGTATAAAACTACTACTAACACTATACCTAGAACTAGAATCATTCGGGTTTAGCCGCACGTCTAAACCTGAATGATTCTAGTTCTAGGTGTAGTGCTAGTTCTAGATATTTTTAGACTACAAAAGAACAAATCAACAAATATTTTTGCCAAAACCTCAACACCACAAAAAAAATCGTTTCAAAAATAAAATACAAACCGATTTCTTCTTGTAGACTTACAGTCTTGTAGCACACCTTAGTAAAATATTCTCTTTTAATTCTTGTCCTATTTTTGCTGGGATTTGCTTGATTATTTACATTGACCATTGGATGCAGCTCCACCTACAAATTGCGCTATCTCATGAAACTGAGGTTCATTGACAATGAAAGTTGCTCTTAAGTATACAAAGGCACAATAATCATACAGTTTCAACTTTGCGACTGAAGAAGCATATTGATATTTGAAAAAAAAAACATAAAAAATCAACTACCAACATGGGAGATATTTCATATTAATGAATTTTATTCATAATACATATACAATAATTACAAAATATATACCATGGAATTATTTTTTAACATTAGTTTGAGTATCAGCATTATAATGTTTAATAAATCGAGCTGAAGGATCTGAAACTTCAATCCATCTGGGCATCCAAAAGAACGGAATAAATTTCTCCGCTAATTTCGGAAAACTTTTCTCAAAAACTTCTCGATAATATAAAGCCTCTTTAGTTTTTGGTGTACAATGTGAATATTTTTTCGATACTTCTTCCGCATTGAATTCCCCAACCATTCGTTTATCAACAATTTCTTGTAAGATTTGAAACAAAGTTTTAGTTCTAGATGTAACTCCATCACTGTGTACGAATTAAAATATAAGTTAAATTAAAAATGGTTATTAATAAAGTTAATATTAATATTACCTAAATGCTTCTTTATGTCTCCAAAGAACATGTTTTGGTAATAACTCAGTTGAGTCAAAAGCAGATCTAATCAAAAACTTTTCGACCCCATCTCTGGGTCTGATCAACTCTTTAGGTAAATTGAGATAATAATGGACAAATTGTTGGTCTAAAAATGGAACTCTCAACTCCAAACTATGTCCCGCCATAGTCCTATCAGCTCTTAATCCATCAAAAAGATAAATTTCGTTCAAAAGACGTTTACTATCTTCTAAAGCTGCTTTATCTGATGGGGCGTCTCTAAAATAAATATATCCTTGGGCCACTTCATCAGCTCCTTCGCCACTAAATACAACAGTGGTGTCTGTATTTTCTTTGATGTATTTCGCGATCAAATACATCGGTATTGAAGCTCTGATTGTTGTGATATCTGGTGTTTCTAAAGTATAAATAACTTCGTCTAGAACTTTTGCAACATCTTCTTCTGTAAAAATTATTTCATGATGCTCAGTTCCTATGTGTTCAGCAACTTGGCGAGCTGCTAAAATATCGGGGCTATCTCCCATCCCTATAGAAAAAGATTGAACTTTGTATGGAATGTTTTCTTCTTTAGCTAATTTTACTAATAAAGATGCAACTAAAGATGAATCTAATCCGCCCGATAAAAGACAACCAATTCTTCTATCAGACATAAGACGTTTTTTAACTCCCATTGTAAAAATCTTTCTTATATTCTCCAATACATCGCTCGAAGATAATTCGTTATATGGCACAAACGGTCTAAAAGCTGGTTTATTCCCGGCTTTATGAAAAACACCTTTATTAAGCAACTTCACTTTCCCATCATCAAGAATACTGTATTCTTCGAACGTTCCCGGTTCGAAAGGTTCAACGATTCTTCCTTCTCCATTTAATTGATCACTAATCGGAATTAATCCTTTAGCCTCGGAACAAATTCCAAGAATTCCGCTTTCGGTGGTTAATTTAAACAACGGTCTAACTCCATAAGGATCTCTAGCAAGACATAATTTTCGATTTTCTATATCAACTATACAAAATGCAAATACTCCGTCGAGGTTTTTAACGCAACCTTCAGCTCCGAATTTTTTGTACATATGCAAAATACACTCAACGTCACTGAAAGTTTCGTAATTAAACTGAAATTCTTCTTTCAGCTAGAAATATAATAACGAGTTATATTAAAAGAGGTCAATGAGAAGGTTGGTGAGTGAACTCACTCTTTTACAGTTGTAAAGTTCTCCATTACAACATAGTAAAGATTGTGGGTATTGATGTAATTTCATCGGTTGCATACCGTATGTACAATCTACGATTGTTAATCTATGGAATCCTATGTAACAATTCTAAAAATTAAAAAATTAAATTAAAAGTGTGTGTTGTTGGTTGGGTTGCCTAAGTTAGAAATAGATATAAATATGTAGAGTATGTGAATATTGATGCAATTTCATGGGTTGCATGCCATATATACAACCTACGATTAACGTTAATATCTAGATAATTAATCCATAGATAATCTATGGAATTCTATGTAACAATTAATTCTAAAAATTAAATTAAAAGTGTGTGTTGTTGGGTTGCCTAAGTTAGAAATTGATATAAATATATAGATTATGTGGATATTGATGTAATTTCATGGGTTATATGCCATATGTACAATCTACGATTGTTAATTTATGGAATCCTATGTAACAATTCTAAAAATTAAAAAATTAAATTAAAATTGTGTGTTGTAGGTTGGGTTGCCTAAGTTAGAAATAGATATAAATATGTAGATTATGTGAATATTGATGTAATTTTATGGGTTGCATGCCATATGTACAATCTACATATTGATAATCTAGTCTGATTGATAATCTATGGAATTCTATGTAACAATTCTAAAAATTAAAGTAAAAGTGTGTGTTGTAGGTTGGGTTGCCTAAGTTAGAAATAGATATAAATATGTAGATTATGTGAATATTGATGTAATTTTATGGGTTGCATGCCATATATACAATCTACGATTGATAATCTATGGAATTCTATGTAACAATTCTAAAAATTAAAAAATTAAATTAAAAGTGTATGTTGGGTTGCCTAAGTTAGAAATAGAGTAATATTAATTATTAATAGAGTAAGTTAGAACATAAAAATATAGATTAAGACATACTTGTAGAAATGTGAGTGTGACCAGTTTTAAATATAAAAATAGAACAGTAAATAAATATAATACAGTGTGTAAATATGAATTTTAGCAGGAAGTGCATTAGGTTTATCAAGTTGTTTTAAATAAAAATTATCATGTTTTGTATTTTTTTGTGATCATGTTTGGGTGAAGTACAAAGAGTATTAGATAACATTTTAATAATTTTTCCGTTCGTTATTTTATGATTTACAAATTTAATTTAAAGTTAATCATTTAAATAATTCCTACCTTTAAGTTATCATCATATTCAATTCTCCAAGCATCTGGTCCTCGATGTTTAATTTTTGGAAAAGAAGTCCCACAATGATTTAAAGCTGAATCACAAACTCCAAATAAAGCCCAAATACCACACATTTTTAATAGAGCAATTTAATACGTCCTTAATTGATCTAAAATAGAAGCGACGTTATAATATTATTCAATTAAACTTGTTTAAGTGCATTTAAATTTATAAATAGGATTATGAGAATATGTTGAAATCAAAATGAATGAAATATTTTAAATATTAAATAAACTTACTTTGTTTATTTACTTTTCGTATCAATATGGAGAGGCTTAAAAACGTTGTAACACTTCAACTGTAGATAAACGTCTGAAGTAAAGCATGCACGTTGGTTTACAAAGTAATTGGATATGATGCAACACTTGGCACGAATTACTTCTATGTAGTAAAATGCTTATGTGTATTTCAACCATTAAGATAACATCCAAATTATTAAGATTGTTTTAAAACAATTTTTTTTATTGAATTAATCTTGTTCACTTTTTCCACGACTATTTAAACCATTTCTGGTAATGTAACGTGCAAGAATGTTTAGTTGATAACAAATACAATAAGGTATTAAAACTTTACTGTTTATGAACTGATAAAGCACGTCAGAACTGCTTTTCTCAACTTTATTGCAAATTATAGTTTCCAATTCGCATTGAATTTTCAGCACTTAAATGGGTTGCCTATATGAAAGTTGAAAAAAACGTCACTCTGACGTAAATATTAAAAAATGTATAATTTTGATGATTAAAAAGTCAAAACTTGTTTAATGACAGAGATGGAATCATATTTTTTGGAGTTATACTAAAAAGGGATGCAGAATTCAATAAATAGTTCCCTCTGTGTGAACAAAAAAACATATATTTGTTTTATTCAAGAATAATATAACACCAAAACTTTTCTTACAAATAAATTAAGTATCAGGTAATCTATTTGGTAATCAATCTTAGGACGTTTCAATAACAACAATGGGACAATTCCACTCCTGTATGATAAATTTTAAACCTTGCAGAGAATATCAAGAAATAAGTTGGAAAACTTATATGTATATAAGTCAGAACATTATATCTTCTAAATTGGGTTACCTTTTAAAACCTTCATCTACAATAATTAATAGCTTATTTTTATTTGCAATGGTAACAACAGGTTAAGCCATTTAGTACCTTTCTTTTAATTATTTGATGATGTTCTAATTGTTCTAGTTACTTTTTGGGTTGATGAAATTAATTAAATGTTATATTTGATTTACAACAACCCATTTCTGCACCACATCTAACCTAAAATATATTTCCTAACCTTATTCATCTATTAAAACTGGAAACAAATTAACCAACCTCATAGATTCTTCTTTTCTTTCTTATTTCTTCTTCTTCACCTTTGAATTTCTTTCTTTTTTCCTACTTTAACTTCTTTCTTCATTTTAATTTACAATGATCCATCTCTACATCACATCTAACCTAAAATATATTTCCTAACCTTATTCATCTACTAAACTTAAAACAAATTAGCCAACCTCATAGATATTTCTTTTCTTTCTTATTTCTTGTTCTTCACCTTTGAATTTCTTTCTTTTTTCTTACTTTAACTTCTTTCTTCATTTTAATTTACAATAATCCATCTCTGCACCACATCTAACCTAAAATATATTTCCTAACTTTATTCATCAACTGAAACTTCAAACAAATTAACCATTCTTGTAGTTTATTCTTTTCTTTTTTATTTCTTGTTCTTCATCTTTGAATTTATAATCTGTCTTTTTTCCTACTTTAACTTCTTTCTTCATTTTCGTTGTATCTTCTTCTTGTCATTTCTTGTCAAAGTAAATCTTAACAACACAATTTCTTCATTTTATTTTTCTTTTCTGATTATTTCGATTATAATGACACAATTTTTCGTTATATTTCTTCTCTTTTATTAATGAATTAACCATGGATTCATTATAATCTTTTGTACATAGAGTTACTCTACATTGAGATCAATTTTAGAACCTTTTTGAACAAATTTTGATATGTGGAGTTTAATAAAACAAGTAAGTACTATTCCATTTTTATGAGTTCTTCTTATTTTTAGTATTCTGTTGACTTTATAGGTCATAGTACACAATAACTCTCAAATCTTGCTGTTATATTATCTAGATTTTATTCTCTTCAGCACTAAATATAGAATTATTGTATAGATCCAATCAATCATCACCTATTATTACTTTAGGGAGATTTCAATTTTCTAGAAAAATGCTATTAAGAATAAATCAAATTTTTGTTTGAAACCAGTTTTCTCCTAAAACCGTCTTCTTTACATTATTAGTTATAAACTGGCATGATGTATGATCTTCAACTTCTAATTAAACAAGATATTGTGAATTAAAATCAGTTTATTTACGTATTAACACTTAAAATTAGCATCTTTATATTGCTACATCTTGGCCTATCTTATATATACTTATCTTTATGCAGCACAACTTACTTCTAACATAGTGAGATTGCAATAAATCATTGAAGAGCTAATTAATAAAGAAAATAACCTATCATTTAACAATTCCAATAGCAATATAATGAAGATGTACTTTATGTGGCAAAAAGACGTCCAATAAAATATTTATTATTATTAAATGAATACAGATTAATAATACAATTCTGTTCAAAGAAGTGTTGACCTTCTGGAAATTTGAAAACCAATATGTTACATCACCTTTATAAACCTGTTACTGGTTATTTGTGAATTTTGGACTAAAAAAAACCAACCAAAAGTATTTACAACATAAATTTTAAATCTTATTCCTTTACGATGTATTAAATTATAACCCAGCGGTAATAATACATTTTTGAAGGTAATAACTTCGAGAATGATTCAGTATTTTCCTGGTGGTCAGTTCACGTCTATTTAATACAAATAAAAACTACGTTTCAATGACACAACTGCGTCACGGTTGGATTTACTACGTCAACTAATCGTAAAATTAAATTACACGAATTCCGAACAAAGAAGATTCGTAAAAAGCCGGCCCAAAGATGATACGGCTCCTTGACCTTTTCCTTAGATCCGCTTTTCGGAAGAGGATTTAAAAAGAAAAACAAAACTCGAAAATAGTGCAGATGTTAGATATCGTCTTTCTTTACATTTTAATCGGATAAGAAAATAAGATTCATCTCTAAATTTGGTTTATGCAATAATGGGATGTTAAATAATCGTTTGATGGAGTTCTGGGTTGTTAAAAATCGGTTATTTAAAAGATGGGACTGTGTTAATTGTGTGTTAATTAGGTAGAGCTAGATTGTTATCATCTTTTTTTTAGGTAAATAGTAAAAACGAGTTTTATGTATAATTGTGATAATTAATAAAACAGTTTTGGCGATTAAGATTTTTAGAAATGTCAAGTACATTTTTAAGTTACGTTTTATCATTTATATGATTTTCAAGGAACATTGCACAGTATTAAATGGTTTGAACTTGAAATGAAACGAGAAAAAAAGTATTTTATTGAAAATATTTTATGATATTTATGTTGACAAGAATGGGAATTGCAAGAAACTTATGGAAATACAACTACAGTAAAATCTCAAAATAACAGATCTTGTTAGAAACCACTTCGGATATAACGGACCAAATATTTATAAGTCATACTGTTAATATTATCTCCTCAATTTGCTCTATTCCATGTTCATAGATAAACTCGGAGTTTTCCCAGAGTTGTCTATATGATGTATAAATCACGGACGGTAGTTCTAGTTTTAATTATTATTCAGCGCAAGATTGTAGCATATTTTTGTTGAACTAAAACTAGAACTAACACTAGAACTAGAACTAGAATCATTTAGGTTTAACCGCACGTCTTTCAAAACGGCTAAACCCGTATGATTCTAGTTCTAGGTATAGTGTTAGGTCTAGTTCAACAAAAATATGCTGCAATCTAGCGCTGAATAGTAATTAAAACTAGAACAGAATTCTAAACAGAGTTCTAGTGACAGTGCTAGTGTAAAACTAGAGCTAACACTAGACCTAAAATTAGAATCATTCGGGTTTAGCCGCACGTCTCTCAAGACGGCTAAACCTGAATGATTCTAGTTCTAGGTCTAGTGTTAGTTCTTGTGACAGTGTTAGTATTAAACTAGAACTAACACTAGACCTGGAAATAGAATCATTCGGGTTTAGCCGCACGTCTCTCAAGACGGCTAAATCCGAATGATTCTAGTTATAGGTATAGTGTTAGTTATAGTTTTACACTAGCACTGTTCCTAGAGCAAACACTAGACCTAGAACTAGAATCATTCGGGTTTAGCCGCACGTCTCTCAAGACGGCTAAACCTGAATGATTCTAGTTCTAGGTCTAGTGTTTGCTCTAGGAACAGTGCTAGTGTAAAACTATAACTAACACTATACCCATAACTAGAATCATTCGGATTTAGCCGTCTTGAGAGACGTGCGGCTAAACCCGAATGATTCTATTTCCAGGTCTAGTGTTAGTTCTAGTTTAATACTAACACTGTCATAAGAACTAACACTAGACCTAGAACTAGAATCATTCTGGTTTAGCCGTCTTGAAAGACATGTGGCTAAACCCGAATGATTCTAGTTCTAAGTCTAGTGTTAATTCAAGTTTTAATTGTTATTTAGCGCTAAATTGCTGGAAATTGTTACAGAAGATAAAATTTGAAAGATTACCGGTTTATTAAAATAATCTTTTGCCATGTTGTTAAAAATAAGAACAGATATTTTTAGACTACAAAAGAACAAATCAACAAATATTTTTGCCAAAAGCCCTACACAACAAAAAAACAGTTTCAAAAATAAAATACAAACCGATTTCTTCTTGTAGACTTATAGTCGTGTAGGACATCTTAGTAAAAAAGACAAGCAAACAACTAAGATTTATCTGATTGGTGACATCATCTTCCAAGAACCAGTTTCCCAAAGACGTAACGTACAAAAATTTCTCACCAACCCCAACGTTTGGTCACTTTGCAACGGCTCGCTGAACGCAATTACAAATGTTTAATGGTGCGACAACTAAACTTGAATGGAAAACGCGATTGGGTGTCGTCCGGAAAGTGATCTCACCTCAGAGTCACCTTCGAAGAAAAAACTTAAATGAGGGAATAAATTAACGAAAAATTCAATTAAATTTAACACAACCGTCATAATTAGTAGGGATAACATAGCATTTAAATTGGCGAACTAAAATCATTATCTTTTTTTTAAATGAGTTTGAAAGGATCATTTATCAAGGTCAATAAAATTACTAATTGGTAAAAATATAAACCAATATAATTAAATTTCATTTTGCCATGCGACCAATTAAAAATGAAATTTAAATTCTGCAAATGCAATCCTTGATACTTTTTAATTCTTTTTTTCATAAGTTGTAATGAGTCTTCACTTTTAGGTTTTCCCCCCTGTTGCGTTCTTAAACAGCCACAACTTAGCACATCTAAGGTATCATAAAATAATTTTTTTTTAAATCTTATTTCGTTTAACACGTGGCGTTGTTAATTTCAAATTTTTATTTTTTGTTGTTGTATCTCCCGTCGGTTAATGGACCTTTAGTGTACACAGTTTATTATCGTAATCTTCTTAGCGCAGTGGGTCGCTATATTTTAGGCTTTGTTGGGATTCAGCTTGGCCAAAATCTGCAAAGGCATCTCAAAATGTTTTTTTTTTAATCAATTTCAATCAAACTTGTGCAAATAAAGTTTAATTTGTGTGTGGTTTAGGAAATTATTTGCTTCTCTCAACAAGAAAATGCGATTGCGGTTGCTAGTAATTTGCAAGTTGGTAAGCGTTTGCGCTGATTACAATTTCAAATTTGGCGACGTACGGAGAGAACCCTTAAATAATTGCATAAATTAGTCGCAGACCCAGTTTGATGTATGTAAATTAAGATTATCTCGGATGTATTGAATGATATGATTCAATCAATGTAACTAAATATCATTAAATAGATCGATAGAGAGTTTTATTAACAAAATTGAGGACTCTAAGTAATAATAATTTCTTGGAAAATTGTTTGATTACCACTGTTTGGAACAGAACAGGTATCATCCTCAAGAGTTGTCAAAGCGAGACGATTCAGGTGGGAGATCCTCCTCTTATATAAATACGAGAGGATTGCATAAGGATGAGATCGAAGGTGAATCTTGACGAGTTAACCCGTTAAAAAGTGATAAGAAACGGAGTAAAAAATGAAAGTGAAAATTTTATTGGTGGTAAGTAAAATAAAATAATAAAAATTCGCGCTCTATTAATATTGTAATGTTTTTGACGCGGTTCGTTAGATTTGATGATTATATATCATTGCTTATCCTTGTAGTTGTTATTAATGTTAGTATTTAAATTAATTTTAATAAAAAAAAAAAAAAAATACTCCCAGTCGGGGAATCGAACCCCGGTCTCCCGCGTGACAGGCGGGGATACTGACCACTATACTAACTGGGATTATATCCATATTTCTAAAATTGAAGGTTAAAAATCCATAACAAAATTAACACTCCATTTTGATTTAAAATTACCGGTTTCGATTTTAATTCATCATCTTCAGAGGCATTCAACAGTAATCCAATTAATACTTAAATAAATTAATTTGTTACAGTTTACAATCGGTATTATATCATCACAAGCAGCCGATTTAAAACTACTAGATATAGCACCAGAAGAAGCTGACCAATACATAAACCAACAAGATCAATCACTCCGTTACGCCCCACAAATTGAAACGAGAGTACCATCAGTGCGATACATAGGAAACCAACCACACCAAGTTATAGAAGACATCTACTTAGCAAATCAATATCATGGTCAAAATGGACTTGGTGATTACGTCTACGGTTACGCCGTTCCAGACATCGCCAAATCAGAACAAAAAAAAGCCAACCAAATAACCGGATCTTATCAGTACATAAACGGAGGTGGACAAGAAATTAAAGTGAAATATTGGGATAATGGAAACGGTTTCCACCAAGAAGATAATATCCCTCAAATTTTACCCAGACAAGTTGAAGATTCACCCGAAGTTAAAGCTGCTAAAGAAGAACATTTGAGGAGATGGCAAGAAGAAGCTGAAAGAAATTCAAAACCACCAGCGTAAGTTATTTAAAGTTTTTTTTACTTCGTTATCTTAAATTTTTTTTAATTAATTTAGTTACCCATATTCACAACAACAACCTCAAGATTCTCAATCCAATTACAATAATTACAACAACGTTGATTATAGCGGACAATACTCTGAAAATCAACAAAATTATGCCCAAACCACTGAAGATCCAAGCAAATGGGAATACAAACCGAGCGAAGAAGAGAAAGGACCACCAAGAGGATTTTTCTATAAATTTGATTATCCCGTTGGAGTTATTGTTAGCCAAGGCGGGTATGAGAAGAAAAATTAAACATAAAATGAAGAATTTAAAGCTTAATTAATAATACATTTTTAATTTGCTAATAATAAGTTTAATTTAAGCTTATTTTAGTCTTTACCGAAAGATAATTGTACGATTAATAATAAAAATGAAGCAATTTGCTTTTGGTAGAAACATTTAAAATTAAGAGCTTGTATTTATTGTAGAGTAGATTGTAATAAAAATTTCCACAAAAAATAATTAAAATGTCATTTGGATTGCCTAACTATTAGGTATTAAAATTTATTTAATATTTTGAAGGAAAGAAAAGTCAACTTGGGTTTTTACTGTTTTATTTTATTTTATTTCAAAATAGATGGTGCCTGATAATCAAAAACATTATTCACCAATAATAAATATTTAAAATGTTATTTCGATTATTGGGAGTAATTTGGGTTGCCTAATTATTAGGTGTTAAAATTTATTTAATATTTTGAGGGAAAGAGAAATCATCTTGGGTTTTATGCTAGGTTTCATCTACCTTAATATAGATGGTTCTTGGTAATCGAAAATATAATTCATCAATAAATATTTCAAATAGTTTTTCAATAGTCAATAATTTTACCAAAATTTAATTTAATCGTTTTGGTAATCTTTTTATTGAAAAGAAAACAAAAATCAGATAAAACTTGGATTTGGGTCGGCAAACATTCCTAAAAAGCTTCCTTTTCGCAGGTATTTAATTTATTAACAGTAAAGAAGTGACACAAGGGTACAATCAGGCCGAAACCACCACCATCGATAAATCATTTGTCGGGGAAACGTCAATTAGGTATCCAAGACGAAGAGATTCTTGGCGCCTTGCTGGTGCCAAGAGCAGTCGCCTCAATACAAAAAATATCACAAGTCACCAGCGAATCGTTTCGTGTCTCCAAAACGTTAAAGAGATAAATGATACCTAAACAAAATTCCCTTTTTTAGAACTCGTTTCTTTTCAAAATATTTTCTTTTAATTTACACTTTCTTTTAGCTTTCATAAAACCACTACATCCTTATAAAACTGTTAAAAAATAAAAGCTTCTTTGTTACTCGAACCTCTTAAAACCGTAATATTTGTTTATCTAAATCGGTTTGGAAAGGAATTTATGAACCCACACTCCACATATTCATAATTCTTTTTAATAATTCATCAATTTATTTTGAGTGTGGCATTTAAATCAGATAAACCAAACGAAACGTTTATAACTGGTAGCCATAAAACCCTCCGCGGGGTAAAACTTTTATGGATACCAAAGAGAACGTTACAGTTGGGATATCTTTATTTGCCGAGACTGCACTGATTTAACTCTCTGACCGACTGACTCTACCAGTTATAAAAGTCACTTGAAAGGGCCGATATTTACAGCTTGTTTGTTGATCGGCTCGAGCAAATAAATGGGACGTGTGTTGTAACTTTTATTGTTCGCTCAAAACTTACATTTTCACCACACTCTTTTCAAACAGGTGTGCACTTTAATTTCATTCTTTTATTTTATAATAATTCGATATTCTTATATAAGTTTGTCCTTGTGTTATTGATAATTCTGTCTGATAGATTATGTTACCATAAATAAATAAATATTTGTCTCTTTCATTATCTCGTGTAGAATCAATACTCAATTTCATCTTTAATTTTATCTCGTTCAAATCCAGATACGATAGACGTTAATAAAATATCAAGTTGAAAACTTAATGTTTTCATTTTAAATTACAACTCAAAGTAAATACTTTAAAATATTAAGAACTTTTTAAATAAACAAATTAATTTGGACAACCGATTTTGTCTGCAATCATGAAAATATAAGCAACAACAGTTTATACACAATCTATCAGTGTGGTCTTCTTGGTGGATTAGTCGGTGGGGTGCATCTAGATTCTGGTTCATGCTTCCTAATCCAGTATCTTGGGTTGTTTGTTGGTCACCATGTGAGACCTTTTCTTACATCGAGGCCTAAAAGAGGCCACACTAACGTAGACTTCCACCATCACTGGCATAACGGTGGCTGAAGTGGAACCCATTTATATGAATTCTAAACTTTTTGGTGTCCCTTCTTGATCTCTATTTTGGAGAAAGCGTTCTGTATGGTTCAAAAACTTAATAGTATTTCAAGAAGATGTGGACTAGATGTGTTATGATTTCTGCCTTTAAGCTGCGTCTTTTTCACTCCAATTTTTTGACAATTATCATCCCAGCAGGATGATTAAATTGTAAATTGCTGTTGTCTATTGACTGCTATATTCCTTAAGAGACCATGGTTTCGTGGCCTAAAGCAGAGCATTTTCTTGCAAGAATCTTACTTAAGCAATTAAAACCAAAAGTTAACACTCAACTTTTGATTGGGTTGGGTTGAGTTGGGTTGGGTTGGGTTGCCCAGGATCACACCGTGGATAACAAGAGATTGGGACGAAGTAAATTACCACCTGAGCGAGTTTATAACCGGACAAAACGTATATTAACACCAGAAATATCATCGACACAATGTTGGAAAGCAAAGAAAACTGGAGTACGGTAGAAAAGTTTGTTAGAGAGCTGATAGATGTGAAGGAAGAAGAAGAAAAACGATCGTAAATAAGCGATGCACGTAACAGAAGGATGAACAAACAAGAAGAACAAGGGAAAGGGAAGAGGAGAGGGGGCTCCTTCAGCCCCCTCGTCTAGGTAGGTTGGTAATGGGCTAATAGTTAAAAATAATTTCTGTCTTTTCTTGTGGCCTTCGTACCTTGGGTTCGAGGAAAGAGGGCGTAAATGAAGAAGAAGGCAACGACACGGTAGACGAGACAGTAGTGGTAGAAGTAAGAAGAGCAAAAAGGGGGCAGTTTGCACAAGCTTCCCTCCCCGCTCAGGTACGTCATAGGTAAATAGTTAATAAAAAATTAACAAATTTTTATGATTCTATCACATGCAATGGAGAGGAAGCAGACCAGTGAGGAAAAGAAGAGAAATGGAAAGACAATTTGGAGGAGAAGAGGAAGAGCGTAGGATGAAAAGGAGAGGAAGAAGAGAAGAACGAAGAGAGGAAGAAAAGACCGCGAAGAAGATGTAAAGAAGAAGAGAAGAAGATCGAAGACACTCCGAAGCAACGCCACTGGCGGATTCCTGAGAAGACGAGGAAAGGGGTTTTTTAGTGGGTCGGGTCACAGACTCCAACCCCACACTATCTAGCTGCCCATCACCACAGGCCAGATGTCTGCAAGCAGATTTTTACCCAACCTCGTAAAAAAAAGGGTTGGGTTTGATAGAGTTGGGTTGGGTTGGGAATTTCTGACCAGTCATGGCGTTTTTGGCACATATTTGCTCAGAATAAAGAAGGCAGAGACATACGCTTGCTGGTACTGTGGGCAAAAGGACGATCCCTACCATACGTTCTTCGGGTGTGAAGAATTCAAAACACAGAGAACAACATGTGAAAAAGAATGTGGGACAAAGCTTGACAAGGAGAAAGTGGTACGTGTTATGTTACAAAGTGAAAACAATTGGAACTATAACATTAAGATGGTTGCGAATGTTTTGAAAACAAAAGAGAAATACGAAAGAGAATGATGCAAGACCATGAGGAGGAATACGAAAAGGGGATAGTAGCCCACATTCAGACGCCCTACGGTCCATCGGGAGCAGAAGGAAGGAGAGGGATGTAAGAAGAGGAGACGAGGTGGGAATCACCCACCTCGTTCCCGGTATGAGGTAAGGTGATAAATCAGACTAAAAGTAACGGAAAGGTTTGGTTTTGGTTTCCCATGATGAGCAAGAGTGTCCAAGTCGTCTTACCACCCTTCAAGCATGGGAGAAAGAGAAAAGAGCAAATCCCGTCCCAACCAGAAAGGGAAGAAGAGGAGATGAGGTGGGGTCCACCCACCTCGATCCTGGTACGAGGTAAGCAAATAATTTATACAAAAAGTAATAGAATGTGTGCTGTTTCATGCCGAAAATGTCCGAGGAGTCCTACGATCCATTTCTGAAGACAGCAGGCAAAGGGAAATGAAGTCCAAAATGAAACTGGAGAAAACGGAAGGATGTTGCCAACTCCGAAGAAATGCCTTTCTGGCGGTTCCGGAGAGAAGACGAGGAAAGGGGTTTTTAGTGAGTCGGGGTCATTGGCCCCAACCCCACACTATCTAGCCGCCCATCATCCCAGGCCCAAAGGGTTGGGTTGGGTTTGGTTGGGTTGACTTGGGTTGAGTTGGATTGAGTTGAGTTGGGATGGGCTTGCAATGTCTCTTAACTTATAAGTGATGCAAAACCACCAGCAATCTCCATCTAAGATGCGTCGCCAATGAATACCATCATGAACGACGTAATTGTGTGATATGTCGTATTGAAAGATTCATAGCTGCTTCCTTATTGAAAGACAACCTAAGTAAGAAAACGATTTTTGATATTTCCATTGACCCAATTTTTCAAGAAGTCATCACCAACTTTGTTGTTTGCTTTTAGGCTACACTAAGTTGGATATGAAATGCTTTTGATACAAAATTCCAAATAAATCTACGCATTTCTCTAGAAATCTGTTATTTCCAGTTATTTCCTAACTGGAATTTAAAAAATTTTCATAAAACAAATAACCTTTAAGAAAGTAAACAGTAAACGATAAGTATTGGTAAATTCTTCAAACTCGCGGTTTTAAAAGAACACACCACGAATTCGATCAGCTGTAGACCTTCCAAAAAAAAAGGAAGGATTACCTCAGGTATGCACAGGTAGAGATACCTGAGCGAACTAACTCGGCGTGTTTCGTTCTGCGTGCGCACCAAAAATTCTTTATCTCATTCTAACTTTGTATAAAGAAAAGAGATGGAGATTGAGTGAAACGACGTCGGCAGCCGGCGCCGGCGAGCGTCCGTCAGAAAGGATCAACGCGGCGCCTCGTCGACTTCGATCCTTCGAAGATCTTTCGCGAACTCGGAGTGACTACTTCTTCGGCTCCGACGTAGAAATCCGAGTGGTGTATAAGCAAAAATTGAACTTGTTTGAAAATACTTTATTAATTTTTATTTTCGCGTTAAAAAAAAAATTATAAAAAAATGGCTGTGATCGGAAACTCGAGGTTGTGTGTGATAACCAACGTCTTTGTTCTCTTGTTGGCCCTTTCAACTTCGGGGGTTCGTTCTTCCAATGTTGTCACGCCAACGAAATGCGAGGAAACCAACTCGGTTTATAATCCTAAGGGAATCTACACTTTTCCGACTTCACCAGTTACAGGTAAGTTAAAAGAATCTATTAAGATTAAAAAAAAAAAACTTTATCGTAATTCGTTTTGTCTATTTCCTATTTAATTCGAAAAGTTAACATCGAGAACTTCCGAGCACATGCCATATACAAGCTACTAAATTTTTTACGATCATTTTATCTGTTGCTATAAAAAAAACCCGGGATATACAAGTCAAAAAAAAAACCGTCCTTTTTCTTCACCGGCGGTGGTATAAAAATGTGCCGGATGTAAAACGAGTTGTCTTTCTTATATACGGAATAAACATTGTGTTCGTAATTGTAATGTTGGCTATTTTCAAATTTATGACTCCCGAGACCGGAATAGAAATGTGTACAGACGCCGGGTGACATAAAATCTGCTAATCAGTTCCTATGAGGGACATAAAATCAACCGAGATATTTTAATTTTAAACAAGTAGAATGTTAAGTAATAAACAAGCGATGTATCAACATTTCATGTTATTATCTGTAACAAGTAATAACAAAAACAAATTAAGTGTAATTTAGAAAAGGTGATGGATAAATAATCGTTTCATCAAATAATAAAATCTAATAATTCATTTATTGTTGTTATAAAAATAAATTAGTAATTAGTTTGTCATAAAAACAATTACAAATATAGTAAAACCTCGATATAACCAAAATTAATTCATTCTTGTATTAATTAATTATAACAATTTAGCACTGAATAATAAATAAAAGTATAGCTAACACTAGTTAGTTCTAGTTTTATATTAGCACTGTCACTAGAACTAACACTAGATAGAACTAGAAATATTCGGGTTTAGCCGCACGTCTCTCAAAACGGCTAAACTCGAGTGATTCTAGTTTTAAGTCTTGTGTTAGTTCTAGTGATAGTGCTAGTATTAAGCTAGAACTAACACTAGAACTAGAACTAGAATCATTCGGGTTTAGCCGCACGTCTCTCAAGACGGCTAAACCCGAATGATTCTAGTTCTAGCTCTAGTGTTAGTTCTTGTGACAGTGTTAGTATTAAACTAGAACTAACACTAGACCTGGAAATAGAATCATTCGGGTTTAGCCGCACGTCTCTCAAGACGGCTAAACCCAAATGATTCTACTTCTAGGTCTAGTGTTAGTTCTAATGCTAGTTCTAGTTTTAGCTGTTATTCAGCGTTAGATTGTTGTACATATATTTTTTATTGAAGTAAAACTAGAACTAACACTAGACCTAGAAACATTCGGGTTTAGCCGCACGTCTCTCAAAACGGCTAAACCCGAATGATTCTAGTTTTAGGTCTTGTGTTAGTTCTAGTGATAGTGCTAGTATTAAGCTAGAACTAACACTAGACCTAGAACTAGAATCATTTGGGTTTAGCCGCACGTCTTTCAAGACGGCTAAACCAGAATGATTCTAGTTCTAGGTCTAGTGTTAGTTCTTGTGACAGTGTTAGTATTAAACTAGAACTAACACTAGACCTGGAAATAGAATCATTCGGGTTTAGCCGCACGTCTCTCAAGACGGCTAAACCCAAATGATTCTACTTCTAGGTCTAGTGTTAGTTCTAATGCTAGTTCTAGTTTTAGCTGTTATTCAGCGTTAGATTGTTGTACATATATTTTTTATTGAAGTAAAACTAGAACTAACACTAGACCTAGAACTAGAATGTTTCTAGTTCTAGGTTTAGTGTTAGTTCTAGTTTTAATTATAATTCAGTGATAGGTTGTTGTATATTTTTATTGAACTAACATTAAACCTAGAACTAGAAACAATCGGGTTTAGCCGTCTTAAGAGACGTACGGCTAACCCGAATGTTTCTAGTTCTAGGTCCAGTCTTACTTCAAGTGACTGTGTTAGTATAAAACTAGAACTAATACTAGACCTAGAACTAGAAACAATCGGGTTTTAGTTTTATACTAACACTAAACCCAGAACTAGAAACATTTGGATTTAGCCATACATCTGAAATCATACTTAAAAACATTTTGTCCGTTATAACGAGGTTTTACTGTATTAACATAAAAGTCGTCAATCACTCGTAATTTCCCCACTAAACCCTTGTAGTTGTAAATCCATCAATTTTGAAAGTAAATTATAGCGTTAGCGCACGAAATATTACTCTTTAAGTGTAATGGGGAAAGAACTCATAATCAGCTATTTTATAGTGTTTCCGATTATTGTTGAGATACATAACATTAAGTCCTCCCTAACTACTCAACAAATTAAACTAAAAAATAAACTCAAACAATTTTATTTATTATTTACACTTCGTTAGGATTTGATTGTTGACGAAATGAAACATAATAACATCATTAGCGGTGGTAATTAAGCTTTCATTCGGTGATGTGTAATGAGTAATGTGGTGTTGCAATTAAAATCGCTGCGATCATTTCAAAAAGTCTCTTATAAAAAAAATTGATTTTGCTTCCGTGTGTATCTTCAAAAAACCCGCACCCGTTTTGCCGAATTACGCGTTAATTTCAGTTTCATGGATCGGCTGTTGCCCTCGGATGAGAGATGGAGAGAGGGATCGATTTGCAATTTTAATTTTAACTCTCGGCAAAGGCCAATGAATATTTTTCGGTTCGACGATTCGGAATATGATCGATACGACAGGAGAAAGGTTTATTTAAACCTTTGTAAATACTGCGGTTAAAATTTTTATGAGAAGTAAAAACAATTTTTAATAATAAATTAATTATTCGTATTCAAATAAGTATTATGTGTAGTTTTGAATAGAATTACGCAATGCAATTAACCTCGACTATCCTTATTAATCGTACCTTATGGTAATAATAACTCTTCTTACATCATAAATCTTCTATTCGATTTCCTGTTATTATTCTATTTTAACAATTATAATCAAATCAACAATGACACAATTTTTAAATGTAATAAACTATGTTAAAACGTTTTTTATATTTAAAATTTTTGAGTATTTTTAGCTTTCAAATATCTTAACCTTCTCATATCTAGTATCGATTTATGAATGAACGTGAGGGTTTCCTCTCTTGGATAACTGAAGAGGTTTTTAAGTTCACGCCCAAATCCATTTAACGCTTTGTTACCCATCTAAATGGTACAAAGGACTTGAGATATAAAAAAAAATATCAATGTGATTACCAGTAAAATAAACAAAAAATTTTTTGGGTTTTAAAGAAACATGTTTAAGAAAAATTGCAAGTAACTTCAGGTAGGCAAAAAAAAAGAAAAAAACCAACCGAGAAGAATGGGATGAAAGGAAGGAGAAAAGAAACGTGTTTTGGAAACGTTTGGATTGGGATTCTCTTGTAACTTACCTGAGAGGGGCAAACAAATCGCGAGGACAATTAAGTTCGAGTGGATGAGTTTTTGTAATGGGGCTTTAAGTGGAGCTATGAATGTTCAAGAAGGCTCAAGAAGATTTAAGTAAGATGTTGAAATTTAGTGAAGCGTTAAAGTTGTTTGAAAAGTTTTCAGTCAACTAGACACAAGTATAAAAGCAAATGTGTTTGTAATTGATTTTCTTTGTTGTAACTTTTAGATTTTTAATGGTAATTTGCTATCAATTTAAAAAAGACATTCTTGACTTTCTTATTGTATAAGTCGGCTTAATGATGCTACATCATATTTTTTTCCATCTAATTAAGCCGAGGTTGATATTATATTAACACAACATTGGACAATACAGATTATAACACCGAGGTCGCTTGCGGCCGAGGAAGTACAGTTTAATAGTAAGCGGCTTCAGCGTAATTTAGTATCAAGGATGTGCGATTTCGCAGATTAAGCCGAGGTCGCTTGCGGCCGAGGCATTGGAGTTGAGGCAGTACAGCTTCACACAAGTACAGTGTCATAGAATAAATTTCCCCAATGTTTAAATGCAAGAATGAAGAAATCAACATTAAAAGATACAGTGTGTTAATTAATTATCGTACCCGACGTCATCATTGCAAGTATGCAACCAACATCGCGATTTGCGCATTACAATACCAATACTGTGATATTGGTTGCATACTTGCAATGATGACGTGGGGTACGATAATTAATTAACACACTGTATCTGTTCTCCAATAGCGGAGGAGTCGTCTATGAGCCATTTAAAGTATTAGCGAGATATTTTTGAAGATTTTTGCAGCTATCTTTAATAATGATAATGATTCCATTAAGATAGACACGATATATAGAATAGATATTGAGTAGCGCAGCTAATCATTGCAATAGAACGCATCATTACATCGCATAAATGAAACTTAACTAAGATAAATTATTTCAAAAGATGGGAATGAATAAAAAAATATTGATACAAATGTTTTATAATTGAATTATGCAACCAATATCACAGTATTGGTATTATAATGCGCAAATCGCGATATTGGTTGCATACTTGCAATGATGACCTCGGGTACGATAATTAATTAACACACTGTATCTGTTCGCCAATAGCGGAGGAGTCGTCTATGAGCCATTTAAAGTATTAGCGAGATATTTTTGAAGATTTTTGTAGCTATCTTTATTAATGATAATGATTTCATTAAGATAGACACGATATATAGAATAGATATTGAGTAGCGCAGCTAATCATTACAATAGAACGCATCATTACATCGCATAAATGAAACTTTACTAAGATAAATTATTTCAAAAGATGGGAATGAATAAAAAAATATTGATACAAATGTTTTATAATTGAATTATGCAACCAATATCACAGTATTGGTATTATAATGCGCAAATCGCGATATTGGTTGCATACTTGCAATGATGACCTCGGGTACGATAATTAATTAACACACTGTATCTGTTCTCCAATAGCGGAGGAGTCGTTTATGAGCCATTTAAAGTATTAGCGAGATATTTTTGAAGATTTTTGCAGTTATCTTTAATAATGATAATGATTCCATTAAGATAGACACGATATATAGAATATATATTGATTAGCGCAGCTAATCATTGCAATAGAACGCATCATTACATCGCATAAATGAAACTTAACTAAGATAAATTATTTCAAAAGATGGGAATGAATAAAAAAATATTGATACAAATG